ATGTACAAATTTACGGTGAACAACGAACGCACGTGCGAAGTGTGGCTGGGCCACCGGGTCGCTGCGATTTGGGCGGGACGGGGTAGGATGGGAGGAAGGAGTAGTGAAATGGGCCGGAACTGAACGGAAAGATAGTACGGGATGCAGTAGAGAGAATGGGTCGGAACGGGAGAGGGCACGTAGCAGGGACGGATCCAGTAGACCATTTGGACGGGGGGGGGGGGGTCATAGATATTTGCTCAACAATAAACATGTGTGTTATTACCTATAATGTATGTTATTTTTGTAGTATACGATACTAAACAATATTCTTTTCTAAAATGATTACATAATTATAACATAAATAAATATTTATACAAGTGTTGCCAAATAAAGGAAGGTAACAAACAAAAACTGTAGATCTTTTGGGGCCATGGCCCCCATGCCCAAATGAATAGGGTAGATCGTAAGTGGGTAATAGGGTAGACAGGGTAGGTGGGGCAGAACAGCGTAGATGGCTCGAAACATCGTAAACGGACAACAGAGAAGGTGGGACGGAACAGGGCAGTTGATACGGAAAAGGGTAGGAGAGAAGGAACAGGGTGGATGGGAAGGAACCGAGTAGGAGGGGAACGTGATGGGACGTGACGTAGCGGGGCGGGCAGCGGCTGCCCTGATCACAGTGCCCCCCAGCAGAATGGATGCAGCACGCGGGCCTCTGTCGATTAATCAATCGACGGTCGACTTGCTCAATTTGCACTCGCGCGATTGGGCGGGCGGGTGGGTTGGGTGAGTGGCTGGGTGGGTTGGCGGGCGGGCGAGCGGGCGAGCGGGCGGGCGGGCAGACAGCGGACGGGCGGACGGGCGGACGGGCGGACGGGCGGACGGCGACGGGCGGCGGGCGGGCGGGCGGGCGGGCGGGCGGGGCGGGCGGGCGGGCGGACGGGCGAACGGGCGGACGGCCGGACGGCCGGACGGCCGGGCGGGCGGGCGGGCGGGCGGCGGGCGGGCGGTGGACGGCCGGACGGCCGACGGCCGGACGGGGCGGGCGGACGGGCGGACGAGCGGACGGGCGGACGGGCGGACGGGCGACGGGCGGACGGGCGGACGGGCGGACGGGCGGACGGGCGACGGGCGGACGGGCGGACGGGCGGACGGGCGGACGGGCGGACGGGGCGGAGATTTAGACACTTCTCCATTCTTCGCTCGCTACGCGCGCGTAATTCCCCATCCACGAGTTGCAATATGGAGGTTGCTGTAATTAGCGCTTTAGTTAATCGGGGGTAAGGGCAGCAGCGACGAGTCGTCCTGTTTAGAGAGTTTATACCTGGCGCATTCTGCTTGATAGAGTGCGATTCCCGTGAAAGCGGAATATATTGACCTTTCGCACTTCACCCCGGAATGACTACAACTCGCTCGGTCCCTCACGTTAAGTTGATGGTCTTTCAACCTTATTGAAAGTTATTTTTTCGCGGCATGTTTATTTGTATAATATGAATGGGCGAAAACGAGAACATTACATGTGATCTTTTATATAAAATCCTCAGAAATCTCTTTAATTAAGTCAATATTACTGTAAAAGTCATGGTGCTTTATTTCATCATTAAAACAAAGGTACTTTAATTGTTCATTAACATACCGAAAATTCATTGCCGCTGAAATAGCCTAAAATAAACTCGTTTTTCTCAGAATTTATTAAAAATGTACTTATACCCTTCTCGGTTTCATCTATCTGAAATATTGAAAAAATCTCCCCTCCTAGTTTTCATTATTGGTAACTGCAAAAACGTAGCAATCCCCAACAATCTATGTTTATGTTGGTGTGTGTATGTAAACAAATGCGTGCACTTCACAAATTCAGTTTATATTATTTTCTCAATACCTTCTATCTACTCCTCACTCTCATTTATACTATATCCGGAAACTACAGCACACCCGACAGTCGGACAACTGAAGTGCCCATTCTTATATCAACCGCTCATGTGAAAATTGAATACATAACTCGGTACGAGTAGTCTTAAAAAAAAGATATTACAACTTTCACCTTTTTCTAGGTAGTACTCTAATTCAGAAGTGTATTTCTGTGATGTTGACTCTGAAATTGCACTGTTTTTCTTATCAGAGTGCATTAGAATTAATAGCTAATCAAATAATAATACAACTCTTTTCAAGCTTATCTGTAAACCAAGCAAACAAGTAAAGAAAGCAGTTTAACAACAAAAAGTACCTGTAAGAGGTAGAAAATTTAGTCAAATAATATAGCACAGCCAGAGCACGTCAGTGACGTAAGCAAGCAATAACATATTTATTTGGTATTACGTGTACTTACTTTCTAAAGTTTTTCTCAACTATTATATATGATTCAAATATAAATTAAATGAGCAAACACTGACTGTCTTTTGGATAATTCTACTCTTCATAAGTAATCTGTCCAATAACATCTAGTCTCAATATACTAGATTATTTGCCAATAATCGCAGTGATGTAGACGTGCAATTAAATCTAGTAGCGAATTTGAATTTCGCGCGCTTTGAAACACCTTTTATGCCAACGTCAGAATATTACATCAGATTATGAATCACGTTGGACCATTGACGTAGTATTGGGCCTTCTGGACACCTCATTGACATAAGCAGAGTGGCGCAGTGGAAGCGTGCTGGGCCCATAACCCAGAGGTCCGTGGATCGAAACCACGCTCTGCAGGAAATTTTTGCAATGAAAGGCGAGTTAGTACAGATGAAGCTCCCTCTGAATCCAGTTTATCCAATGAAATTATTGAATAAATATTGCAGTAAAATAGAAGTCTATGAATAAATGGTTCCGAAGCGTTGCTCAAGAGATGTCAGTGAATAGGGGTTGCTAGAAAGCACAAAAGTTGGACGTACAGAAACTATTTCTACTGTATAGAAATTTAAAATTAACTAAATCAGTGGCAAAACTAAAATTAAGTATTTGAATGAATCATGCATCCGAATTATGCATATTGCAATGATACGGCAGCAATTTTTATGTCAGCGTAATTACGGCAGAATATTATATAGAAACAAAGGATAAATTTGAGGAGAGAAATTGATCCATTAGCCAGGCTCATTGTTTAATGTCATAATGAACTCATTTTTTTATTATAATACACTATTATAATTACGATCGTTGAGAAGGGTAATGGAAAAGAAATGCTACTGTTGTCCTTTTCAAGAACTTCATAAATCGCTTGTCAGAGCCTTGGTATTCGGAGACACCTCCTCCCCGTAAGCACGGAATGAACAATAGTTGCGTTTGAGTGTGTTTCAGTCGACTTACTACGACTTTCATCAGGGCTAAAAGGAATTCAGTAGCCTAATATTTTATTTAGGGGGATTTTTATGAACTAGTTTTTTCTATTTTTAATATTCACTTGTTATCTACAAATATTTTTTTAGTGGATAGTTATTTTTAGCACATTACCGATTTATTTTGGTTAACAGTGTGTCTTGTACTGACGAAGTTGATTTTTTTAGATATTTTCAATGCTGATTATGCTCAGGAACTAACTATTTGATTATTTATGTTATTCCTCCTCGAGATGTATATTGTCGTCATAGAATGAAAAATAATATATTTCTCAAATAACACATATTTTGTAGAATGATACAAAAATCATTGACTTTTTCAAGCAATATACGTGTTTTATATTTTCTCTTAAGCGTAGTACAAGATCGCGAGTATACTATTTTCTGACTATTCAGTTGAGTATGAAACGTTCCATTTCCATGAAAAAGTGAAACATTAATTTGTTTATGTTGGTTTAAGTTGGTTTGTTGTGTTAATTAAATGAAACATGAGTATACTATTTGCTGACTATTCAGTTGAGTATGAAACGTTCCATTTCCATGAAAAAGTGAAACATTAATTTATACCCGCATGTATCAGGAACAAGAAATAGTACCAGTGGAGTGATTGCTTGCAAATTTGATTCGAATACTTTTGAAAGACCAATAAATCGGAGTAACGATCCCAAATGTTATATGTTTTGACAAAAAGAAGTACAAAATTTATTTGGAATACACGCATGCGTATTCATACCAGCTAATCTATGGGAGCTTGCCCATTGCTAAAATCTGTATTTTCACCCAACATCCAGGCAACGACATTAGGCCAAAATCTAATAGATCATTGTGATAAAAAAATTCCTAAGCAAGGCCGCATTTCTTAAACTAGTAATGTACTAAAAATACTTTAATTTTTTTAATACTAGTTTTTCATTGAAAGTTGATGATGCCATGTCTCTAAGGGCTCTAAGGGCTAAGTAGCGGGTCATTGCATCCCGAATCTTTGACGTTTGTTCAATTTGGTTTTATTTGTGAAAAAATGTGTTTTGACAGATTTACTATTTTTTAATTATCAGTTTAATTATCTTTTATTATTGGTCATTTGTTTATTAATTATTAACAGTTATTACTTTGCATTATTAATTTTGATTAAATTATCATTTTATAAAAAGTTAGTTTTAACTGTTATTTATCATATAAATATGAATAGTAAAAGGGTGGAAAAGAGATTCGGGAACTCAAGAAAATCAGTGAAGATTAAACTTCTTTCCTGTACGTCACAAATAATTTTCACTGTTCTTTGAGAAAAATAAATCAAATTAAATTATAATTATTCGTTTTTTATCATAGATTTAGTTCATTTATTAAAATCTGCTACAATGGTGCAATTTTCATTTAAACGTACATTGTTGTCTAGAACAAAATTTGAATTTACAGGGAATTTATGAATTGGCGAAAAACAACCGTTTGTTCTTGAGAGGTATGTTTTATCAGTAGAACTGCATTTACTTTAATTGAATAATTTTTAGAGAAGTTTCATAATACACAACGGTTCCTTATTTGCCGCATCTACACACCCCTGTTATGCTGCGCGGGCACAGAATAGGTACTGCAGAAGATCCTATTCTGTGACGCGAGCGCACACTGCGCTGAGGTGTGAGGGATCGAACGGCGTTGCCGCCTGCTCGCAGGTTCCTGGACCACGACGCGTACATGTACGGCTTCGCCCTGCCTGTGCTGTGCCTGCTGCTGGCCGACGCCTTCTACCTGGCCAAGAGCGCTGTCGTCATCCGCTACACCGTCAGCATGCAGGTCAGAACCCTCCCAACCATCTCCTCCATCTCCAACTATCAGATATATGCATCTTCCTCACTAAAGAGAGATTTATGTTTTTCGCCAAAAACAAAAAAAAAATCATTACTAAATGTAACTAGAGAAACTTGAGAAAGCCTACTAAAGAGATCACTATATTAATTTATTGTTATCATTGCTACCATCTTCATATTCCGAATTGCCACAATAATAGATCCCAGTATGAAAGTCTCAACATTTTGGTCTGGCAAATTCATTTTTCATTTTTTATAAGAGTACAGAACATATTATATTCACCAACGCTGATAATAGACAAAATTCGTGAGCAAAAAGGAGTATTGTATGACATTATGTTGATGCAGCTTCAACTACCGACAAATATGTACAACAACATAATCAATGCACTATATTAAAAATAATCACGATGTAATTGACCTTTTAATGACGGTATTCGCTATTGTGTACACTTAATGCTGGTAAACACAAAAAAGCCAAACACTCTTCTTCAAACGTAATGTACGTAAGGCAAACTGTATTGCCGCACGACGAATCTTCGGTGCATGCTGCACTATTCGGTTTAGTTTATTTTTATAACCATTATTTGTCACTAGAGTCGCTTGGAGCTCCCTCAGTTTAGTTTCTAGATATTAAAGTGAGTCATTTCATGCCTTAAAAAACACACCAGAATATCTCTTAAAATGTTAACAATAAATAATTCCTTTGCCGTTTGGACCAAAAAAGCATAGATTCGCGTACAAACAGTCGTTTTGTAATTTTCCAATTTTGTCGTAGCCTCTATGTCACAGGAACATACTTAACGTTTCCAAGATTCAAAGGGCTGCTGGAAAACTCGAGAGATTATTACCGCCATTTGCAAACAGCAAGTGCACTGCTATTCTGACGGCCAGCAAGCTAAAGCTCTGAGGGCCTGATTCTGCATCAAGATAATGTTCGATACCTGGCTGTCGTTTCAATAACACTTCTCAGACTAGGGAAAATCACCTCGCTTGGCTCTAAACCATGTGCCCGGCAGATCATATAAAGTTACGACCCAATTTAAAAACCTGCTTCCCAAGCTTCAAATGATCACTTAACCATCTCGACAGCTGATATGTGAGTTCCAAAAACGGAACCAATCGTCAGACGCTGTTTTTTAAACCGAACTAATTGAACCTGTGAAAATATCCCGTTCTTCGTAAATCATTGTTTTTAAAGTGAAAAATTTCTACTTAGTCCAGTCTGTAGGTACTGAAAAAGGGGGGTTATCTGGGATAAGGTCATAAAAACTTTTTCTTTGGATATGTTGTATGTACCCAGACACGAGTTTAAACCGCGAGTTTTCGACCCCATAATCCCTGTCCTAACTCCGAGAGAACTGATAAACCGGTATTTTCTCAGACTTTTTCGCGTTTTTCTCTATAACTGTTTAACCTTAAGTCCTAGAGAAAAATTATTACATACAATTTTATAGAGGATAAAATTTCTAACAACTTTTGAATGATGCATTTTTTCAATACCAATTACCAAGCAACTACAGGTTGTCCCCAAAAAATGTAATTTTTTATTTCTATAAAATCTGTCTAAATTTTCAAACGGCCCTAGTCCCTGAACTGTGAGGTACAATATTATTGGTCCGGTTTTGCTTGTGGGTAAACGTTTAGATTATCAGTTATGCAAAGATTCAATTTAATTTTATAATGACATCAAGCTTTCACCACATGTTTGAATGCACGTTGCTCCCCATATGGTTGCTTCGAATGTGTGTTACCCCATACGTCCCCACACTTTTCCATACTGTTCCCTCGTGCCCAAAATATATCTCATTTTTGCAAACAAATTTGCAATCGAATAAAGATCACTCGTTAAATCTTTATTTTAAAAGTGAAAATAGCTTCATACTGGAATCCAACTTCGAACGATTTCGACAACTCTACCACGGTGTTGGGTATCCTTTAAAATGTCCAAAAAAAACCCTCTCTTTTCGTAGGTTACAGAATACGAATACGAACTTGTCCTTCCCGTGACACGAAAACCTGGTTTATGCTTATTATACAGTGTTTCCGTGTTATGCACAATAGTAACGTGAATTGCTTTCTAATAAATGGTCCAAAACTTTCCTTCACGTGGTGCACAGAGAGGGAATGATGGAAAGGTAACTTTTGCGATGTTGCTTTCAGCAAATTCTCAAATTAACTGCAAACTTAGTTTCGGTTCCATTATAATTCGTATTTGATAAATTCGCCGTATTTCTCAGCTCTAGATTTCTTTCATATCTGTAAAACGCTGACTCAACCAAGGTAGTTCCTGAGGCCTAGTTCAATAGTTCAGAATAACCATTTCCCCGAGTACCAGCTTCGAGTTCTGAGTCGTCAGCTGTACGCCGACTATCGTAGCCTTACAGCTCTAATTTGGATCTTTTTTCTAGGGCTATTTCCAGCAGACAACCGGTTAACCTTCACTTCCCGATGGAACGCTCATTTGACCATACACTAGACACCAACACACTTGTAGGCTCCTTTGATCTGGGGTCAACAGAACGCGAGGCCCCCGCGACAACACGTACAAGGGAGAGTCGGGACAAACAACCATGCCCAATGTGGGACTCGCACCCGCGACCTTTCGGTTCCAAGCGCTGAGTTGGTACACGCTCTAGCCTCGGCCATCCAGGGCGGCAGGAATATTTGAACTTGAAAAATAAATTAGTCATCTAAGTCGAGCTTTTTGAATAAACAGACACACGATTATGAAGACATGTTTCTAAAAAAAGAGAAAAAATCAAAAAGTACTACTTTAAATAGCTTCAAATCATGCTCAGAGACATAGGATATTTTTCTTCCTGAAAAACTGTATCCTTCATTTTTGTATTTTAAAAATTTGACCTGAGCGACAAAATTTCAACCTTGAGCAAAAGTGACCACCCCAGTGACCATAAAGATAAGACGAAATCCAAGTTCGTTAACTTCAAGCTTCCATGTTCACTTTCGATAACAGCACATTATCGCGTAATAGTGAACAAACGTCTACAGTTTTTATTAGAAGCCAATGCACTTCATAAGAGCATAAATTGCGTTTTAATATTACTGCTCGTAAAACCCGCCATATAATTCCTCATAGCGGCCTTGGCAAAGGAAATTATTTACTTCCGAACACAATCGAGTCCGTTTTACTTACTGTCGTGGAATTTTAGTACTTAAAAATAATTTATTTAGGGATTAATTTCTATGCCGTATATTTATTGTATTGGTAAATTATCATATCGATGAGTGATAATCTGTATGTTTATGTTCACGCCACTGCGAATGTAACTACCTCGGTAAATGGCAAAAGGAAAGAGACATCTGTTCAATTTCATTACAAATGTGCATTCATAATATATATTTTGATGCACTAAATACGCGATAGTTGTTTTTCATAAATTGAGTTTACCCCAAAAACGATTTGGGGAGAAACTTATGACTTTCATCGCCCCACACACACACACACTTCGCTCTGCGTCAGCTCACGTTTAGTTCGAACGACGCGCTAATGCCGTCCGCCCTCTCCTGCCCGCAGGTGGACAAGCGCGTGCGGGACAAGATGCGTCGCAAGCGGCGTCTGCAGCTGTGCCTCTTCGTCAAGGTGGCGGCCCTGATCGGGTCGGTGGCGGCGCTGGGCGCGCTCGCCAAGCTGACGGGCTCCAACGCCTTCTGGGTGGCGTTCAACGTGGGCCACGGCCTGCAGGGCATCGCAGTCGCGCTGTGCGTCACCTGCAACTGCCAGGTGCTCAAGATCTACACGCGCACGCTGCGCCGCCGCCACCGCCGCTGCCCGGCGCACTACGGCGCGGGCCTGGCCGGCAAGCCCTGCAAGCCCTCCACAGACCTCTCCAAGTCCACCAGCCTGCAGCTGCTCACGTGGGAGCCCGCGCCCGACGCGGTCTAAGCGCGCCAGGGCCCCGCCACGCCACTCCACTCCACTCCACGCCACGCCACGCCGCGCCGCGCCACGCCCCGATGGGCAATGCGCAGGCGAACGCACACCGGTCGAAGAAAGGGTAGAGGAATGCGCAAGGAATTGTGTGCCGCCTAGGACCCGGGGTGACTAAATTCTCTGATGTTTGAACGATTGTGAGAACATTGTTTAAAAATAGACTTGCGAACTTGAAGAGAAGATATTCTCGGATACAATGTTTGTCGTGCACAAAAACATGAAGCATGTTTCTAACTCTGGACGTTAATTACTTCCTAAATTGATACAATATAACTCTATAAATATGAAACCGACGTGTTGAAAAGACAGACCAAGATACGCACACATAAAAATACCATTTATATCAAGAATACTTTCGATACACTTCAGCCGTATTTCCAGATATGAATCTTGCACTGCACTTATTAAAATAAACGTAGACATGAATTGCTTATCCCGTCGTGTAGCTGCCGAATCCCTTTTGTTTTCGACATATCGCTTCGGACTTGGCGTGGGAGAGAGGGTAAGGCACTACGTACGAGCATCTGCCATGTTCAACCCTTAGCAATGCATTACTGAGTACGGTGTAGCTTCTATAAACACAGCATTACACAAACGCATTTTACGCACCTTCTGATTTATTTATTTTTTATTTGAGAATATATCCTTAATCAAATTTACAGTACATTTTCGAATACCTGTTTCCTTTTGTGACCGCATAAATAATGTATATGCTAGTCATTTTAAAATATTGGCATACTTCAATACTATTTTAACTAAATATCTATTTGTTTAACATTACTTTTATTACAACACACGTTGTTCAATGCTGTATTTTCAGTAAACGCGCCGTACTACAGCAATCAGTGAGGGTCCAAGATGGCGGGTGATCAAACCTTCATTTAAAGATGCTCTAGCGACGTCCGGCTGCACCTCCGCCGCGCGCCGCTGCCGCTCGGCGCGCCACCATCGACCGCGCCAAGCGTCGCGTCACGAGCGGCCCGAGTTCCTCTTGTAATCCGACGGAGCAGCAGCATTGCGCGACGGCGCGGGGAGGGATGGGACTGGGGCTGGGCTAGAGGCGGAGGGCAGGGGGAGGTCGCAAGCGGCTTTGCGCGGCCGTTCAGATATCGGCGCGGACGTCCGCCATCCCCACCCTCCGCCACCAGACGGCGCGTCGCGGCAACTAGCCCGCCCTCCCGCACACGCCGTCACTTCCGTATAGCCAGCCTCTCCGCATTCTCCACATATGGGCGATACGCCGCGCGGTCTGTTCCGGATAAAGCAACACTCGCCTCCAGTTGGCTTCTTTCGTTTTTCTTTTATCTTAATTCACTTTGACTCGGAGCAGCCGTTGTACGATTTTTGAAACTTCGCTATGGTTTATTAGAAAGTAGTTGCCTTGCAGGATTAATATTCACGCACCCAACACTTCATTCTCCAAAAGTTTCAGCATTTCGATTAATGATTTTCACAAAACTACTTGAGATAGAAATAATAATTTAGCACTCTTATTAAATACTTGAAACATGAATGTAGCATACCTTTGCATATTCACTGTGATGTGGCGGATATTAAAGGACATTGTTTGAGCACGTGAGCTGTGTAAAGCAATAACTGAGATATTTTACAAGGCACGTGTTAAGAAAGGTGTTCGACGAAAAATACCTCAAGTAACGTTCCAATTAAGGAAATTCAATGTACCGCGCAAAGCTCAGGGTTTCGCTGTTATCAAACAATATGGTTTAATTTACAATTAAAGCAATATAGATCAAAATAAAATTTGACACGAGGGGTATGAATAACGTACACAAAAAACCTAAAGAATTAAGTTTCTGAAATTATAGATATTTGCTCATATGAAAGAATTTGAATTTCATAAAAATTTAACATTATTATTTTGAATATTACACAGAACCGTTATATATTCTTGTTTCCTTCTACAAACAGCACAAAAAACGTTCAATTTGATAGTAACTTCAAACTGTAATCATATGTATAAATCACGTATTTGATGTAATTCCACTATTTATATCACAACGACGATACAGAAACAAAACACAACTGAACGTTCATTTGCCTGTAAACCTCATTCCTCATCTCCGAGATACATGAAATGCAAGCTTAATTCTATATTACAGACACGCAGGCAGCAAAATTAAGAGATATCTTTCATCATTGTCTCGTCGATTTTTCAGAATATTAGCGGTCAAGGTCGAGATGACATCGAATAATTTATACATAAGTCATTCATTTCTTAATCTTCTTATTTGTCTAAATCTTCACTAAAAACCGTATTCTTCGCAATTAATTTTATTTCTCAACAACCTGGAGGCGAGTGCAGCAAAATGACATTTTAAATTACGTTTTCAATACAGAATCCAGAGTCAAAGAGAAATGCGAAACCATACATATCTACTCCAGAACAAAAACATGAGTTTTTTAGTGTATCCTCCGAGTGTAAAATAGTAAAATATGACTATAGTTTTTAAGCTGTGTGACGATTTTGAGTGGAAATAGTTTTAAGTTGCACACCCGAGTGAAATAAACACCCATGAACATGCAAGCGAAGCATGAAACCGACGTGTATCAACACACAATAATCACAACTCTAGTTGTTACATATTTGCTAAAAACATGGACTTCGACGGGAATCGATTCCTAACACCGAGCTGAACGTGTTTAACTACGAGATTTTTTTTTTTTTTTACCTCAAGACAAGCGAACGGAATTCTCGTCCTCGCCGTTCCTGGAGTTCCGGCGAGGCACGGAAATGGCTGTTTTATTTGTCAAGTTGTCCGGAAATAATCCAATATTGTGAGAGAAAACACTGAGTGGAGCGCAGAAGAAAGAACAACTCCCGCGCGCCGACCCGCGTGGAAGTACGAGGGGAGCGGGCCGGCGAAGGGAGAGAGAAGACCGAGTGCTTGAGGGGGTTGAGAGCAGCAGGTTGGGCATGCCGTCGCGGCGCCGCCCTGCGGTGAGGTTGCAAGGCGGAGGTTGGTGACCGCGAGAGCGCCGCACAGTGGTCTGAAAGCGACCCGAACACAACAGTGTGATTTGGTATTTTTCGTGAGAGGGACATTCAAAACTGTGTGGGTGAATCTCCTGAAGAGGATATTCAAAACACTGTGAGGAGAGGGAAATAGAAGAATTGATGGGTGGAAAGACCATCTTTGCTTTTACAACACTGAATGAAACCTATGAATGCTTTTCAGGATGTCTTGTCTTGGCGAATTCTCGTGCTTTGGATTCCTTGATTTGCATAATTGAGGGTGTAGAAATCATAACTGAGGTATCAAACATGGATTAATTGAATGTCTGAGAAGAAGAAATTAATACTTTTCCAGCAGGGGACATCGAACTCTTTGGGGTTAGGGGGTGTTTTCGATACTCCCCCTCGCCCACAAATCAATTATCACCCTACACTGACGACCTCTCATACCTGAAAAGAATAGTTCAGAAACCTGCGGAACTAACCACAGATGTAACTAAATGTAATCGAAAGAGTGAAAGAGTGAAAACATTTTATTAACTGAATCAAGTATTATTTCCACGAGGCCAAGTCCGGAGGAGTGGTTAGATCGCTCACCTTCCATCTCTGGGGACGGGTTTTCGAAGGCCGGACGTGCCTTGCGAAAATTGTCACGGACAAAGTGGGTTCGCCGCTGGTTTTCTCGGAGTTTCTCGTTTTCTCGTTTCTCCTATCTATCATTCCTCCATTGTTCCATTTTCATGAAAATTCTGACGCCATCATCAGGCCTCCATCAAATCTATTCGTCTCAAGCAGTGCCGGAGCTAGATAATTATGGGCCCGTGGCAACGCTGAAACGTACCCCCCTCCCTCGAAAACGTTAAGAATGTTAAAGTTGTATCAAGAAACTCTGCGAGTTATTTTATTTATTTCAACATATAACAAAAATTACAACATTTGAGACAAAAAACGTTTTTGGAAATATATTTTAAATAATAGTTTTAAATAAAAGTATTTAGTGATCAAATAATACAATTTCCACAGTGAGCTTAAAAGCATGTTGTGTTTTTAGTGTTTAATGTAAGGAAACTTTTGTTTAAAACATGAAACAATATGTATGAATTTCAGTAGAACTTATTTTAATGATAGCGTCATTTGATTCATTTCGTAAAGTCCAACCTGTTATATAATTACTATAATTAACTATTTAAGGTAAACATTTAATTGAAAATTTTATGAAATACGGTACCGTGACATAAAATTACGATAGCGATTTTCTCGAGTTATAATTTCTTTTTCAATTTTTTTACTTCTTCGTTCCCATCATGGGGCTTACGGAACCTCGGGCGATCGCCCATGCCTATAGTCGGCACTGCTCTCAAGTACGCGCGAAAAAGCCAAAATACGCGGATCACACAAAACTGCATACAGAGCGAGACATACATGACGAGAACGGGAGCCATTCATGAAAACAAGAAGGTAATTTGCACCTATATTTTTCAGGAAATTTTAAAAATATCCCAAAACGCGGAACTGCTCTCGGTAAATGCCAATGCCACGTTTAAACAAATTGTGGGCCAATGAACACATTGAACGCGACAAAACATGAAACTAATATACTTTTTTTTCCCCTTGGTGAAGAGAAATTCAGTTTCAGATGTGTACACTATACAAAACACATTTTGTTGTTTCTTGTTTTGACATTTTTTCCATTACCTATCTGCTGGCAAATGTAATAACTGTCATCATCACTTTACACCACAAAACGCATTCAATCACTAGTAAAAATAATTGCGAACAGAACAACTTCCTGCGTTCATTCTTACACATCGTTTTATGTCCTTGTTATGCACAGTTTTGGAGTGTACCTACTCACTAATGACTATTGTATTTAAGTAATCCGCATTTTTCCCAGAAACGGCCGCCTTTAAGAGGTCACAACTGTCGTTACGAAGTCAATGCTCTATACAGCTACCTGAAGAGATCTGTCGGCCAAACG